TGAATGTATATTACTTCAATAATAAAATATCTTTTGGTCTCCAAAAAATATCTACTGAAAATAAAAAAATTTTTTACTTGGCAATTTTAACATGGATCTGATACATTCAAACTCTGACTTTGCAACTTCTGAGTTTTTAATCTTACTTCTTATAATATTCACTCATTTATTATGCTACCAACAAGAGATACTGACCATTCTGCTTCAATCGTTGACAATATCTTAAAATAAAATGTAATCACTAGTAAAACTATTTCAAGAAATATAACAACTTCTATTTCTGATCACCTACCTCAATTTCTTTGTTGTCTTAATTTCAACAAATTATTTATACCACATAATCATAATTTATATTGCAGGAACTTTAAAAATTATAATAAAGAATTGTTTAAATCTGAGTTATTAAAAGTTGATTGGAACATTATCAATAAAAACAACTCTAGTTTTAAAGCATTAATTTCTCAAACAACATTTTTATTAGGTTGTCATGTGCCACTCAAAAAAATTAGAATTAAGAGCTATAAGCATCAATTCAAGCCATGGATTACTTAAGGAATAATAAGAATAATAAAAAGTGTATTTGCGTGGTTATTTTATGACATGAAATTGTATGCTTTCCTGGCTAAGCCTGTAAATAGTTATTTTTGCAAAAATAAATCTAGAGTATACTTCTAGTATATACCAAGATAAAAATAATTATGTTTTAAAACTTTTTTTTACACTTTTTAACTGTTTTTTCTTTTCAATTTCTTTTCAAAAATCTCTTCTTTTTTAACTCTCTCTCTCTTAATCAATTTTATTCTTCATGTTTTTAAAATTGGCTCAAAAACCATGCGACTCAAAAACTAAGGAAATTCCTATCAAGAGAATGTTTCCAGTAGAAATTAGAAATGAAAATCAACCTATTAAGCAGATTAGTGCAACTTGTTTTATGTCCTGCTGCCTTGTGGGATTTGCTTTCTAAGCAAAGGCTGGAAGAAGTGTACTTCCTCTCATCAATATTATTTAATATCTGTTATGCGTATAGTAATATTTTTTATTCTTTTTTTTATTTTTCAACTTATTTATTATTATTTTTGTGTGTGTGTCTTTTATATAATTGGAGGTGCCTTAGTTACTAAGTTTGCTCACCTGCAATTTTCTTAATATATATGTTTGTGTTCCATCTAAACTTCTGATGCAGCGTTCACTCACCCATAAGTTACTTTATGTATGTGTGTGTTCTGTCTGAACCTCTGGCGTGGTGTTCATTCACCTGTAAGTTATTTTAAGTATGTTTGTGTTCTGTCTCAGGCCTTGTTTTAAATAAAAAATGCTTAACGCATTAGCCTAATGTGAATTTGACATCATAAAATTCTCTTTATTTTTCCATTTTTAAAAGAGATTTTTTATTTAAATTACTGCAATAATATTAATTACAGCAAAACAAGTTAAATATTATTTAACTCGTTTTTTATTATTACTATTTGGGAATATTTATTTTCTTTCATTTGAAATGAAATAAAAAAAATTTCGTTAATTTATTTACTTTATTTATTAAAAGTTTATTATTTTGTTAGTGATTTTGTTATTCAAGCGAAGATTATTTATTAAAACACCATTTATTAAAACACCATTTAATAAAACACCATTTATTAAAATTACATTGCTTTAAATATCATTTATTAAGCTGCACTTTTTTTTATAACTTGCATTATAAAAAAAAAGTTCAACTTATGTTTTTTTTTTTTAAATGCATCAAAAATTTAAAAAACTTAAATTTTTGATGCAGCCTCGGAACACATTTATTTTAAAATTAATTTTGAGTAAAAAAATGTTTAGGAAGGAAAACCGAAAAAAGAATTACAATAAAATAAGCTAATTTTTTTTTTTAAATAAAATTTAAATATTTAACAATATTTACTAATATTTTAAAATAAATTTGACAGTTAAGTTAAACCCATGCATTAACTTTATTTTTAATCAATTATATTTTTTTAAAATCAAGTCTAAATTATATATTTTTTTTATTAGAATAAATTTATATATTTTTATTAAGTTAGTTTTAAATTAAATCATATTTTTTATCAGAATTAAATTATATTAATAGTTTCAAGCCTAAAATAGAAGTTTAAGTAAATTTTTTTTTTCAATCAAAAGTTGTTCTTGAGCTTGCAAGATGATGAATAAAAGTTATTATTATATATGTATTTTTTATTTATGTTTTTTTTTTTTTACATTTCAAATACAAAAAATTTTTTTTCAATAAATGTAAACAATTTTGTTTTCTGTTACTAAATATTTCGATAAATTAATTAGTTTAATGAGTTCAGTAACTAACTAGTGACTGTTAAACTATAAAACCTAAACTCACCTTAATATTTAGTATTTTGTTAGATGTAATGCATTCCCAAATACCTTGTTTAATGTTTTAATATTACTCTTTACAGGAAGTAACTCCTTTTAACTATTTCAGGTCAGGTCAGGATCATCACGATCACCCTGTTACTGATATCATTAGCCCAGTATTATCTGCCCCGTGTCCACTGCCATGTAGGGTATACTTTTTTAGGCAAAGGCTAGAAGAAACAAACTTTAACTTTTTCAATAAAAAATACACAATTTTTCATTTTCAATAAACTTAAAGTTAGACAACTAAAAGTGAATTATTATTCAAATAATATTTTTGTAAATTTAAATATAAATTTTTGTGAATTTATTGTTTTTAATTTTAGATGAATGGACAACAAGTTATTGCACAGCGTGTGCCTGTTGCAGTTGAACCACTTGATGAACCTTTATATGTTAATGCTAAACAATACCATAGAATAATAAAACGCAGATTGGCTCGAGCAAAGCTAGAAGCTGAGGGTAAAATTCCTAAAGCAAGGAGGGTATGTAAACATATATTAAATATCTAATTTAATTTATTGGATTTTCTTGAAAACAGTTTTGTTTTTCACCAATAAAGTTCTTTGTTTGTTTTTTAAAAGAAAAATGTTTTTAAAACAACATAAAATCTGACTTTAACAATCTCTGCTTAAGAAAACATATCAATAGAGAAAATATGATAATTTTTTTTGAAATAAATCTCATATGTAGATAATGGCTGTACCATTTATATCTACATATGAGATTTATTTCAAAAAAAAATTATGATCTTTTCTCTATTGATATGTTTTCTTAAGCAGAGATTGTTGAAGTCAGATTTACAGATTAGTTGATATATAAAAGCTTTTTTCTATAATTATTTTTATTTTTACTCAATTGTTATATAACACAGACCAACAACAACAAAATATTTTTCTGGTACTGAGCAAACAATATGTTTTTTGTATAGCATTTCTTATTTTGATTTCAAATATGCAACTCATTTTTCACCATCATGTGAAAAATGAGTTGCATAATTGTACCCTCTCCCCCACTTTTTCTTCCAATTTTTTTTGTACTTAAATCAACTATAAAAACTATTTTGAACTAAATAATTAACTTACCATTTAATAAAAATCTTTACAAACACTATAAAGACAAAAGTTATGCATTAATTAAAATTAGTATTTTAAAATGACAATTAACATTTTGGCAAAGTTTTCAAAATTCTTAAACAAGGACTGGGTGTGCCACTATTGAGGTGGAAGTGACAACCAGTCTCTCACTATCTGATTATCCAACCCTTTCATTGATTAAATAAGATATGAAAACTCATTAACCAAAATAGAGTGTTAGTATTATTTCATATTATTTATGATATTAATCTTATCTATTCGATCTTTACTTCTATGTTTGCAATTGCTGTTTTTTTATCCATAGAAATATTTTTTTCTGAAAGAGCAGAAGAAACAACTGTTAAATCAAAATACCATATATGCTTATAAAGAGATGCTAACACAGCGTCAACTACCTCCCAATCGGAGCAAACTTTCTTATACTCTTTTATCTGAAAGATTGCATCAAGATCAGACACAGAAGATCGAATCCCTTTATGTGCTTGAAGGAACCACCTTGTGTAAAAGCATACAATCAACTCACAGATGAGTTTCAAATCTTCTCGTAGATTATAATTTTCTTGCACCAATGTCAGTTGCTTGCAAATTAACTGAAGTTTAAGGTAGTAAAAAATTCTTGCCCAAAAACCTAGCATGATTAGCAGCTCCAATTTTCTTTAATTTGAAATGTGCAGGTGATAAATACTGCATGGTTGGTTCAGCCAACTCTCTTCAGTCATTCCTCATATTGCTTATTTAAGTAATATAGGTCTCATAGTAATCTAAAGTTTGCCTTGCAGCTTCCTTCAAAACTGTTCCTTTCACAGTTTTCCAATCAAAAAAGGTTAGGTTGTTTTTGTCGTATTCGAATTTAGGATTCTCAAATATACATTTGAACTTTACGAATAAAGGATTTTCAGGCCCTATGCTATCACTGCTTCACAGATATAAACCATTCTAAGCTCAATGGTATGATGCACACATCATATCATTGAGCTTAGAATGCTAGTAGAAGAAGGTATTTGTGTCTTGCATCCTAATAAGTGTTAAGTTGTCAATGATCATTCTGAAAGAGCAATCGGAATGATGCAGCAGTTTGTGCAAAGATACGAAAATGAAGATGACAAGCAAAAGAGACTTTTAACTGTCGACACAGTAAGGTCAACTTTCAAAGTTTTTGGTGTGGAAAAAAGTAATATTACAAGAAAAAAGTCTGATGTCACTCTCTAAACTAAACAAAAGGAAACTGTAGACTTAAGAAATTGTTATTCATTTTAAAATACTTATTTCAATTAATGCATAATTTTTGTTCCAGATAGTGTTTGTAAAGATTTTTATTAAATCATAAATTAATTATATAGTTCAAAATAGTTTTATAGGTTGATTTAAGTGTGAAAAAAATTGGTAAAAAAGGTGTGGGGGGGGAGGCACAAGGCTCCATCCCCCATCCTCCCTCATTCCCAAGACTGGTTAAGTTACATAAAAACCTATAATTTAACAAAAAGTTTCAAAAAGGGTTCATTTTTTCCAGCTGTC